GTTTAAGTTGAAGGACTGGTAGTAGAATTTTCCCACGATGATATGAGTAGAGCTGAGGTTATCATTGAATTTCACAAAGCCTTTCTTTCCCGAAGGTTGTTATCATCCAAGATGGACTGCAGTTTCGACCTCGCAGCGGGAGTGGAACCATGAAAGTGCAGCATGTTAGTTTGGCACGTTAACCACTCGGCCACATTGCCACGAGTGCCAATGGGTCACAGGGCATATGCACATTTCAAGGAAGGCCAGGCTTTTTCCCATATCACATTCATTGGTATGAAGCAAATATATTTGTGCTACTTTTATATGCAAAATAAGTAATGTAATCGACTGGTATATCAAAGCATACAATGCTTTTGGGATGCACGAGGTGTGAAATTGAAAATCAGGTTTGAGGCCAATCAAGCCTCATACTCTGCCTCTCCAATCCTATCCAACAGCTACAAATATTTTCCACTTAATTTCCTACACTCACTTCTTCTATTCAGAGTGTTGGCAGTTTTGCTGATTTCTATAAATCCCAGTATGTTCAGCCTATTGATATAGTCTCTATTTGGCTTTTGGCCAGTCTATCTGGTGTCCTGTGTGGGCTGTGTTCAGCCAGTTCTATAGTAGTAGCAAGTCAGGATTATACGCTTCTCTACCACAACTACTGTTCGATTCTGGTCGTGGATGCTGATGGGACCAGTACAGACGAGGTCGAAACTGCAGTCCAGTCCACTCTGGACGAGAATACTTTTCGTAAGCAAGGCTAAATTGAAATTCAATTGCATCACGAAGCCTGCTCATCTCATTGTAGGAAAATTTACTATCATTGCCTTATTACCTTAAGTGACCTATAGTGACCAGAGCTCTTATACAGATACTACTGAAATGCTACTTGCTTTTATGCCCAAAACACCAGACGGCTAAAGATGACATTTCATTTGACCATTCGTTGCCCAGGTAATATATGGTGGGGGACTCAGAATTGCCTGAATTGACGAAAGAGAAAAGATTGCCTTTGTGTCGTGAGTGCCGATTGGAGATCTGATCCCTCATCCATCTGGCCGTGTCCAGCAAGATTCGTCAAACACGATTCAATAGTGGGGCCCAGCTGTATATCTGCCTACATCTTTTGTCCAAGTCTTGGTCTCTGAGAGAGACTTATC